AGTAATAATTTTATTATATATATATAGCTATATATACTGTATAATAACATCCGAGTACAATCTTTATATAGCATATATACGTGATGATGTTTACTATGCAAATTAAAATCAGTTCTCATTTTCTAAATAAAAAAAATAAGATGATATGATACGTATAAATAAAAATAAATTATACTATTTCATTACCCCTTTTTTCGGATGCAGATACGGTAGTTTGAGCGCCAAATAAAATAAAATGTTGTAATACATCAATGAACTAGGTTAATTATATATATATATATGTATAAATCCTTATATTTATTCGCATATAAGCTTGGGATATAATTCGTCATCTTTGAACTTTTTAAGAATGAATTCAGCGGATTATTATTGATAAGGCATGTGTGATATGCATTTAACATATATTCAGCCGTGTTCGATCCGAATTTACCCACGACTTTTCAAGCTGATGAAAGTGTATCATTTTGCACATGGTTTGTCTATAAAGACTATATTTATAAAGACTGTATTTATAGGTTATTGTTATTCATGAATCGGGTTTATGAAAACAAGGATTGTTTAACAGTAAAAAAAAAAAAGAAAAGCAAAGTAGTTTATAGAAACATTAATCTGATGACATTGTCGGTTAAGGATTACAAGAGAAGGTCACACAGAGATATTCTTAAAAAAGTAGGTTTTAATTTAAGTGTTATTCTAGAACAGGAATTTAACAGTAATAGATAATAAGCTGATTGTTTAAAGTATATATAAAATATATAGTTTTTGTTTAAAATTCTATAAATGAAAAACTGAATAATAAAGAACAAATGATATTCCGTCCGACTATCATACAATGCCAAAAAATTCTAAGAATGGTATCTTATACTCAACCGATTTTCAATAAATAGGCTAAAAGATCTACTTATATTTTGAAAAAATTTTAGTCGGTTTTCGACTTTAGGTTTATCCATAGAAAAAGGGGACTGGATTCCCCATCTCTCAACACATATATATATATATATATATATTTCAACATTCTTTAATTCTCCAGTATTTAAAAAAATAAAAGAAAATATTATATATTATATGAAGCAAATAAATGAAATAATTATTCAGCAATAAAAATAAAACCACATTAGATAACATGAGTAGCATTTCATACGCATATATTCCGTTTCCTAACGAATCTCTTGCAGGAGAATTTAAAAGATTTGAAATATATGTGACATGTGCTATCTCTATATACTTTTATGATTCAATAATACATGTTAACGATATTTGGACTTGGTATTCAAAAAAGCAATGGATATTATCAGACTTAGTGAGTTTGATTCTTGATAAGTAAGTATCTCTTATCTCAGATCTAAAATTATCTTTACACACTTCTAACATCGCGAATATATTAAAGAATAAATACGATAGCATACTGTATGGTGATCCTACTATATCTCTACTTTGTCCAACAAACTTCAATGACCTGCGGCTCTTTATCACTCCTCTCTTTAAGTTACTATGCACTCGGCATAATATTTCAATGCTTGATCCTATTTACATGTTTACGTAAATTCTATAAATCATCTATTCTGCTCGTGTTCTTATTTCTATTCGCTGGTACAACATCTATTTTACATGTAGCGAATATCTTCGGATTCGGTAATTTTGTCGAGGGAAGTGATGGAAATTGTTATTTAGAAAAAGGGCAAAGTCCTGAACAGTTCGTTGCTGTAGGATTTATTATGATGGCGATTTTTTGCTGGATGATATTTGGATTAATTACTTTCCAAATTTATATGATGTGGAATTCACTAAGCGAAAGGATGCAATCAAAACAAAAATGGCGACAAATTTTGTTTAATGATGTAAGTTTCATGATTTAAATATATGCTAAAATTATTCAACATATCCTTATTAATTTATACAATTTATCATTCAAAGGGGCTATTTTATTTGGGTCTGATATCATCGTTTCAAACAATAAATGTAATATTCATCTTAGCATCCGAAGATGAAGATTACCTTAATCGTTTCATCAACGTAACACCTGCCCTAATTCTCACGTCATTATGTGGTCAACGTCTCATAATTGCAAGAACAAACAAACAAACCAACAATAATACTTTGACTGCTCCCCTGAGCGTCAAGGCTCCAGCACCAATTGTTCAAAATAATAGTTCATTTTTTCAAAATAATAGTTCATTTGTTCAAAATAGTGGTTCAATTATTATAAATAGCATGCTAGAAGTTCCAATAGCTACTTCACGTAATCGAAGCATATCATCAAATAATTCATTTGCCGGAATTCCTATTTCACCACCAACTCCGATAATGGTTTCAGATTTCGGAACTTCTTTAACAACATTTTTTAATAATTATACATCGATAAGCCTAGAAAGCAGTCAACCAAGTAGTAAACATACTAGCTCTATTAGTTACCCCAAAACCATAAACAGCAATAATAATATCAACAGCAATAATAATAGCAGATTACAGGTTATCAGACCTACAAGTCGATCCAGCAGCCGTGGAAGCAAAAGATCAACGAGCACAATATTACAATCAATATTTCGAAATAGTAATAACAATTCTACATCATATGAAAATCAACGTAGGAACAATATAGGGAGATCACAAGGAAGAGTGACAGAATCAAATGATTATTATTATTTTCGCTACAGCGAAGCAAATGAATTTGATGATGATATATTCCTATTTCCCGCTATACCACCACAAGCCCCCTCAAAACCAAATGTGAAACCACCAAGACCTGGATTTTTCTAATTCATTATTTTTTTCTTTAATTTGCATATATTCCCAAAAATAATATTCAAAATAATTCTTCATATGTATAATAAATTCAAAAAAAAAAAAATCTTGTAGATACGTATTTAATTGTAATTGAATGAAATATATTATTATTATGTATTATTAAAGTCCTATTGCTAGGACATTTCATTAATAGCATATACGCCATTTAGTATTCGGGATTTTATTACTGAAACTAGTTACGTTTATGAAAACCTTGTTTCCTTTTTAAGTTACTCTCTGATTCCTATATGTGATTATGTAGAATCGGTTATCTCCTTTTTACAAAAAAACATTTTTACAAAGTTCTAAAAGAAACTTGAATTTTACAAATTTTACAAATTGTTTAGTTTCAGAAAAAGATTTCATGCACAGAACACTTTTGACACATAGACGTTCGCCCGAAATGTTCCTCATGCTGTAATCGCACATCTCACATGTATGTGCGTGCGTACGTACGTACGTATGTACTGTACGTACTTATGTAAGTACAGTATTTGTACAGTTACATTTCAAGTGAAATTTCCGAATATAAATGATCATCTATTAGCATATAGCCCGAGAATGTTTATTTGAGGACAAAGAATATCAAGTTTGTTACACTTCAAATCTCGCGTTTCAGGTTTATTGTTATTTATCGTTATATTGTATATATTTAGAATTTTTTTACACTACGAAATATGTTGTTATTTTTAATACTATATATATATATATATATATATAGTGTAATTTGTTTTTAGATTTTATCTAGTTTTCTAAATTATTGTCGCAGTTGAATTGATTGGGGTTGTAGTGTCCGGGATTTTACTGTTTTAACTAACAAATTCTACTGCGATTTACTATTAATTAATTTTTGCAGATTATACGTGACGTATAAATAATATTTTAAAAATAAAATTAAACAAAATAAATTATTTTATTTTACAATAACCTAGTGCAGTGGTGTTCCAGTGAGAATTACTGGGACTAACTGGATTAAGTTGGAAGATATAACCGTTCAGTGGTTGGTTGTCACTAGACCATTCGAGTTTGCCACTGGACAGGGACAGTGAATACTTTCGCAATAAATTTCCATTTTATTTTGCTATGGTCATTTTATTCTTAATGGAAGAGTATTACCGTCCCTACCACTGGATGGAAGGTCCAGTAATGTCCAGTGGCAAATTATTATTTTTTTTGAGCTCTTTACTGTTTCAGTAATAATTTTCTGGCTAATCTTTGCTATGACCAAGTCGATAAGTTTAGTCAATCTTCTAATTTGACTAAATTTAAGATTGGTGTACGTGTTTTTTTTTCATATTATCATCCTGATTCATCTCACTAAGCTAATAACCAATTGATTTATTCTGATCCTTGGTCCATGCATCTCTTGGCCAATTTAAACGTAACAGGTGATATGTATGACATAACACTATTAGTTCTTCTAGTGTCTTGATCCGCAAACCAACTAATTCAGATTGATCCGATAATTCAGATTGCGGATATCCTTATTAAGCAGGGACGATGACTTTCTGCGGTGCTAATAGGTCAATTCCGCTAAAATACAAATTCTGCAGATCAAATTAGTAAATTCTCACGATTTATGATTGAAAAAAAAACATTAAAAGTATATATAAAAAAAAAAATAATAAAATAATTATATACTATATATTCCTTATATCACTGGTTATAAATAACCACCCTCTATTAAAAATTTAGGGTTAGGGCGCAGCTTTAAGATAAATAAAAGGTTTTTATTAGTGTTTCGACTCGGATTATTGAACTGAATCCGAAAGTTTGGTTTGAATCCGGAGCCAATCTGAAGTATTTAATGGCTAAATATTTTAACAATGGTCGACTTTATGTAAGGATCCAATTTTACGGTTCGGATTGGATGATAACCCGAACCTGTCAGATCCGGAACACTAACTAGTTTTTACATAAAATAGTTTTTTTTTATACAGTACTAGTTCGATAGGTGGCGCGGAGCGCCACCCATCTTATACAGAATTTAAAAATGATTGCAGTATACACATTACGTGGTTAGGATCTGTTAGAATTATTGTAATTTTTATTTACTGAAAAAAAAATTGCTAAAGAACTTACTCGTTAATACAACAAACACACTGGTCGAAATTGAGCTTGTTCATATTAAAATTGTCACAATTTCTACTATTAATTATTGTAAAATGCTCTGTCGTTGAAAACTTTACTTTAGTGACCGTGATATGTAGTTATAGTTGAGTTAACATTATCATGATTTTTGTAGTTATTATATAAAATTCTGTTACAAACCTTATTTGCCATTTCAGTAAGTTAGTTTGTATTGAAAATTTCATGATTTCTATAATGGGATACTGTAAAAATTCTATAACAGGACTTACCATTCCAACGACCATAGTATATTATTAAAGTTAGTTTGTATTGGAATTGCTGTAAATTCTGTCTTTAAAATTACTCAATATTCTGGTGACTGCAATTTTTTTTTTATTTCTTTGGCAAGTCTCGCCATGACTTTGGTCCTAGCTATTATATAGTTGACTCTAGTATGCATGCTACTTAGTGTTACAGGACCTTCATAACCCCATACAGGTATTATGTATATTCATCTGGAATTCCGTTGCCTGGCATTCTCCAGTTCTTTCATTGGGGCCTAGATCTGACCGCCTGCACGACACTCCGAAGAGGTCAAATCACCTTTCTATTGTACTGGGATTTCACTAGCCAATCCGGTGTTGCCACAAGTTCTTGTATTATCTTTATCAGACTCGGCCTCACATTACATCTCGTGATTTCAGTTATTCCAAATCGGGGTTCTAACATGTCTCACTTCACAGCCACAACTTCTTGGAATAACTATTCCCCAAATACGTCTATCTATAAATATTCCGGGTTCTCTATACTCTGTGGTGTTTCACTTCCATTTTTGAAATTTTCATTAATCCACCATTGGAAGGAATTGAACTGACAACCATTCGATTTGCAACTTGGGAGCATAACCGCTATGCTATTAACCCGCAAATCTGGTGACTGCAATTTGGTTGAGTTGGTTTGTATTGGAATTATTAGATATAGTTAAGTTTGAGTTAGTACATATTGAAATTATTTGTGATTTCTATCGCTCTATAAAAATTTTTCAAAAAATGTATCTTGACTTTCTTCAAACTATTATTCTATTAATTGTTTTGGGAAATGCTCATTTTTCGTAACAAACCATATACAAATTCCTTGTAATTTTATAGAATTTTGATAAATTCCGCATAAAAATCAAATATGGATAAAATCTAGCTTCTAATTATAATGAAATACAAAAGATGAACCCAAATCTTACCCAGATTTGATTTCTACTTAAAACTTACCAGGATTTTATAGAAATAATCAGGAATTGTATATAGTTTGTCCCAAATATAAGCATTTTTCAAAACAATAATAAAATAATAATTTTAAAAAGTCAGAATATAGTTTTTGAAAATTTTTATATGGTTATAAGCTACTGTAAAAAATTCTATTAAAATCTTACTATAGAATGTAATTAAGATTGAAATTGTTTTCACTAGAATTATTGTAATTTTTATCATGTTATTGTAAAAAACAGTTTTTTTACAAAACTTAATCGAATTAATAATAAAAAATTTTGTTACAAAACTTATTCGCTTTTTTAGTGATGATAGTATATGATTAAGGTTGAGTTTTTATTGAAATTATTTAGTTGAGGTTGTTTGGATTATCGTAAGTTGTTATAAAAATTTGATACAGAACTTGCTTTTTTGGTATTATTATAAAAAAGTTACTATTAAAAAATTGTACTTAATATTAGTATTGTTATAAAAATTGATAAAACTTACTATTCTATCAACACAGTCAGTTTGTATTAGAATTATTAAGACTTCTATTTAGTTAAATTTTAATTGGTTGGGTTTGCTTAGATCAGGCAGCTTGATGTATGTACGTATGTGGCTTTATATACTATTTTAGTGATACATAGTTTATATAGTATCCTAATTTCTATTGTGAGTTATTATAAAAAATTCCATTAGAAAACTTTATTAGATTTGTATTGATTTTTATTAAGCATTACAGAGTAGCAAAAATCTTTATTGATTTTTAATGGCCACCCTATCTTGTTTAGTACTTCAGGTATGTCTATTTTAGACCAGATTTGTGTAAGAAGAGTATCTTCTTGCATTTCAAATACAAAATAAATTTCCAATTATAGAAGATAATTAGAAATTTTATTTTGTATTTACAAAGGTGCAAACCTAGGCTATACTTATATATCTCAATGCACTAAATTAAAGTAGGGCAGTTGATAAAAATCAAAAAAGACCTCTGCTTACAAAACTTACTTACTATTTTGATAGCAACTTAATATATTAAGATTGTTATGATTTCTACTATAAGCTAATATAAAACATTGTTATTGATCTTGCTCATTATTCCAAAGATCATAGTATGTAGTTAAAATTATATTAGCTTAATTGGTATTACTAAAAAAATTCAATTACAAAACCTACTTGCTATTTCAGTACATATAATATACAGTTAGAGTTAAATTATTACTATTTGCTATTTTGGTGATCTCAGTATGTAGTTAAGATTGAGTTAGTTTGCATTGTAATTATTATGAGTGATAGTAAAAAATTTTATTGCAAAACTTACTTATTATTTTAGTAAAACACAGTATGCAATTAAAGTCTTTGTAAGTTATTGTTAAAAATTCTGTCATAGAACTTTGTTTACTAATATAAATCACATTGACTAAGGTTGAGTTAGTTTGAATTAGAATTTTTATTGTTATTCTAGTAACACAAAGTAGTATTTGGTTATTGTTATGTAAATTAGTAGTAGCAAAAACAATTCTTGGTTTTGTGATTTCTGAGCAAAATATATTCAATAAAAACTCTAATTATTATATAAAATTAAGCTACAACTTTTATTGCAATATTTCATAATCTAAAAATTGCTTGAAAGTCATAGTACCGAGGACTGTTTTTTGC